GTGAGATATTTGAATCTGAAGAAGTAGACCATGATATCTGCCAAGACTCAATGTCATTGGAGAAGGAGGTGGTGACACATACAGACACTTGAGGAAGACTATAGAAGCATGGCTGAAGGGAGAAGATAATGATGTAACTAGTAGAACATGGCAGACTTTGATAGACACTGTGGAGGGAAGCAGGATCATGCAGATGCTGAAAGAATACCTGATAAACTGAAAACTCTTTACAATATTACACTTTAATAATGATACTAGCATAATTATTACAATTTAAAGTAATTATTATGAGTTGAAATGATTGGCATATTCTTTTGGCAGAGGTGCCAGGAGCTACTTATAATTGCCATCATTTCAAGTAACAAAAGAATAGGAGAAGGGCAGTATAAGGTCCTTTCCACTACACAAGAAATGAAGAGGTGAAGACTTTATAATAGCTTAAAAACTTAGCTAGATCATAGATGCTCCATTATCTATGGCTAGATCTTATCTAGTGACACACCTACTCACGTAGACAGTACTAGACACTAGACACTGTAGCAGCTGTATCTTAAGAGTTTAAAGGTAAGTGATGCAGATTTGTGGTACAAATCTATCTTTTGTATTAAGACTTGTGCTATTTAGTATCATCTTTCTTAGCTATGAATTATTTAGATACTAGATATAATATTTTTGTCCTTTAAAATTAATTTACAAAATATCATTGACTGGAACCTGACATATGATATACACTATTGAAAACTATCATTTTAGGTCAATTTCTTCAAATGGCATTAGAATCAATAGAAAACACTCAAAACAAATCAAATGATGATCAAAGGATAGAAAAAGGTAAGAAAGATGGCTATTATATACAACTAATCTTGCCACCTGGAATTATGAACTAAACTCATTTGCATAACATTAACCATGCAGCTTTTTAACTACTGTATGATTTTGTATATACAGTAAAAATGCATTAAATATAATATACTCAATTCAGAAGTAATAAACTTCACTTTTAGAATTGAGGGTTGCTGATTTAAGAGATGTGATGCAAAAGTTAAGGAAAGCAGAATTTAATAACGGAGATTGGGAGGAGTTAGGAAGGGAACTTGGACTGCATCAAAATACACTAAATGGGATCAAGGATAATGAAAGAGGTAATATTGACAAGTGTTTCACCAGATGCCTTACAAAATGGCTGGAGAGAGCTGATAAAGTTGATGATGATAAATTTCATGGAAGACCATCATTTAATTCATTATGTGCGGCACTTGAAGCGATTGGAAGGGGTGCAATAGCTGAACGTATAAGTGAGTGCATATCTTAATACTTTAATTATGCATCATTATCATCACCATGACAACAATGAAAATAATGAACTTGAATTATATGAACTTATGATAGCCTTGCACCATTGTAATTTAAAAATAAATGAATGAATAAAAATTCTTGACTAGCAGCAATTTTATTTACCATTTACTCAGCAATTTTATTTACCATTTACTGGATTATTGGCAATACTCAATATTAAAGCAATATAGTCACAAAGTAGATATTGATAGTTATACATGTACATGTCTATTTTAGGTGCTATGTTTGGAGGAAATTCATCAGAAGGAAAGAAACCAGCTAAAAGTACGAGTAAGTGAAAAGCTAACCAGCAAATTTAACTGTACTTTAATCTAGAGCCAAAAACTGACTCTCCTACTACAAAAACTGGTACTGGAAACAAAGGTAACGTTACAAAATCTGACAACCAATATAACCTCATAAATGTAATTTCTAATGGGTTGGTTATCTGAGCTAAGGCTCTTATTTTGCTTAGGCTGATAATAGTAAAAAATTGAATATGGAACCACTGACGTGTAGTGGTTGAGTGAACGTCAGTGGTTGAGTGAAAACTTATTTCTGTCCCTCCAAACAAGCACAGCTGCTACTCATAACGCCCACATATTAACAGACAATATAATCTATTAAAGTGATCCTTTTATGTTATCTTATTTAGATGGAGGAGCTCAAGCAAGTTCTGGTGATGAGGAACCTGATGGTCCTACCCCAC